CATAAATCACATTGACCAAAGCCTTCAAGGCGATTGTGGTATTTTTGGAAATAGTCTTGGGAGACCTAAATACATTAATTAAATTTAACAGAAAAAGCAGTTAAACCTCCTTGACTGCTTCACACATCTCAATTGTTTTTTGGTGCTCCAACCATCCTATTCAAAGTTTCAAATTTCTGTTGGTCCCACGTGTACAATTCCTTTCTCCTTTCCCAGTGGAGTTGTTGAGTATTGTGTCTCCAGTGCACAGGAGATCAGGAGATTAAGAAAGCTCAAGAGAAACACAATCTTCAACTTATTCCACTTTTCAAGAAAGAGATGTGTCATAAGAAATTCAAAATGCATCACTATCCTCCCTTACCTCCAGTTTTTTCCCTCCTAACACCTCTCTTCTAAAGTGAAGAGACTATGCAAAGTGATGAATTAATTATAAAACCAACGGAGCATGTGAAATCAGAGTAATTCACTGAGATTCAGCACGTCTGTGCAACTAAACAAACATTTAATAGAATAAGTTATTGATTTTAGCTAAGCTGCAAGAAAAGTGAGTGCAAAATGAACTGCACCAGAAAAAGACTGATTTTATTTAATAAAATTGGGATATATTTTAGGATAAATTTGTGTAGATTTAGGAAGCCTGCCTGTATTTAAATACTATGTCCTCTTTTTAAGACTATGATTTGATAATTAAATTCAAATATGTAGAGAGATGCAAAGGTTTACTTGCATTTACTGCGGTAACAATGACTTGACTTGGAATCAGGCCAGACAAAGGGAAGCAAGGGCTGGTACATTTTTCAGCAGGAAAGCAGACAGCCATTGGCACAGCAGCCTTCAAAGAGTAAAGAAATCCTAGTACTGGCTGCCATTCTGCTGTGAATAACAGGAGGGCTCTAAGAGTTTAAAGAAAAGAGCACATAAATGTTCAGCTTCAAAGATGCATATTAATTATCATAAACAGGCAACTACTCACAATAATGTCACTATTTTACATTCTTAAACATGGTCTGTGACTAGAAATTCCTATTTATCCAATACAGAAGAGAAAAAGCACAAAGTCAAATTCCTCCCAATACCTTCAGTGCAGGAGTGATTCAACCATTTCCAAGGGATCAGGACAGTGACAGAGACTAAGTGAATAGTCCACATGCCCTTAACCTCTCTTCCAAGACTTGGCAACTGCAGCTTCAGCAAACACTAATCTAACATCCCAGGTGTTACTGGCCTGTTGGACTGAAGAGCCTTAGCCTGGTATCTGGTAGGGATGGGCCATTCCTGTCAGACACAGGAGGCTTTGCACACCCCAACTGCAACGAGCAGATCTGGCTGGAGTTTACTGAGGCTGACCTGGAGGAGCTCAGAGTGTCTCAGCAGGGAGTGGCAGCCACCCGGCCACGGAAATGCAGGTCACACAGACTGCACAGGATTGGGGCTAAACACTAAAAATGAACATTTCAATGCTGCAGATGCACTGCTGGACTGAGTACACAGATACAGACCGAGGCCACACCTTTGGGCTGCAGCTCTGAGGTAGCCAGGGCGTGCACCTGAGCCAGTGACAGGTGACAGCCCCAGGTCAGGGATGGGCTGTTCTGGTTCACTGCTGTGCCCTTAGCAGAAAGCAAAGCTACACAGTGACATATTGCACAGGTACAGGATCACATACTGGGGACGGGAACCTGCATTTCCAACTGGCACGACTTGCAGAGTTCAGCAAGGCACTAATCCCTGCTTGGCAGTACTGCCGGGAGCCACTTGGGGAGCATGGACAGAGTGCTGAGTCATAAGTCCAGCCTAACCTGGAGCAAACCTCCAGAAACGCCACCAAAATGTCCCTCAGCCTCCGCCACCTCCCATTTGTACCACCCCTACTGAGCAACACTGCCTCAGCACCCCATGTCGGCAAACATGCAGCAGCATCTCAAACACTACAAAACCAGGGGAGTCCTAAAATATGCTATATTTTAAAAATATTTTACTTGCTAACATTAAACAACTAATCTCTAGTCCTGGTGGGCACATATGCTGAAAAGACAGATCAGCCTCAGTGGGCAGCCATTCTGTGACGTGCAGGAGACATCCTGCAGCACAATTCCACATCTTTGCTCAGGTTGAAACCTAGAAATTCTTAAAGTCAGCATCCCAAATGTTGCAACAAATTCTTGGCAGATGAATGTCATCTCTTAGATTGAAAAAAAAAAGAAAAAAGGGAAACATAAATGTAAATGTCACGTACACTACCAACAACGTTCTTTTTCACCATTTGTTACCAGTAAACGCGGAGCTGTAAACCATTAGCTGGATAATTTTTTTGCAAGCCTACAATGACCAGGAAGTGGAGGAAGTCACTGGCAAGCCAATGAAGCTCCAATTTTCACATGGTATCAGAGACCAGGGCAAGAAGTGGGCACCTTCAGCCACCTAATGGTGTCCTGCCTCCCACGGCTCACAGCTGCATTTCAGCACAGCACACGCTGATGCTATTTTGGAGCATGTGTGCTCTGCTGTAGGAGATGCGAGGCGGGAGGAAAGACAACCCCTGCTCATGTTCACATGCTGTGAAAAAAAATTCCAGCATGAAAAACTCCTTTGATATTTTTTTCAAACGAGACACAAGCACAAGTATTTTGAAACAGAGCACCAAATGAATTTATGAGATTCACTGCAAAACCAAGGAGCTACAAAAGCTTCTTTAAAATGGACTTCAACCCTTACAAACTAAAAGTGGAGGCCATGGTTACAACCCCAAAGTGACTGGGACGCATTATGGAAGATATCCTCATTCATGGTATTATTCTTGACATCCTACCTCTCTCTAAATTTTATACTAAAGAGCTACACAGAGCTTTTCAACAGCCTCAGAGCGAACAATTTTCTGCTTTTTGTACCTGTCTGCATTTGGATTCAGCCCTTTACCATTTCAGGTATTTGGTTTACAGCCCAATCTCAGTTTCCTACACTGAGCACCATGTCTTTCAGCACACATCATGAGCATGCTTGTACCAGCCAGCAGCTCCATGACCTCTGTCAGCCTGGATGTACTTACACGGGGCCAAGGAACACTCTGGAAATAAATGCAACTATTTACAAAGGTAACAATATCATTTCAGCCCTATCACCAGGCAGTATGTCATCACAAGACCAGTAGGGCAAGAAATGCTTAGAGCAGAATTTACTTCATGAATACTTCAACCTAGAGTTTCCTGAATGAAGGACAGCGGTCAGCGCTGCTTGCTAGAAAGGACTGTAAGGCAGAGGTATTGCCAAAGCATATGAATGCTGCCTGCAGCATTAAGTCTGTTTGAACATTAATATTTAAGTGTACTTTGAAACTAAGACATTTAATAGCTGCAGTTAGTCAAGCAGCATTTTATGTTATAAGAAGTATGTGTTGCTGGCTAAAGATCTGGCAACCAAAAGCGCTATGGTTAGTTGATTTAACTTCAATGGCTACTAGTTATTAGCCCAGAACCTCATCTGAAAGAAAGACAGCCTGACAAATTAACATTACTTCAAGAAAAAACAGAGTCTGGCAAGGTTTGTATCTACCTGTGATGAAGAAAAGAAAGAAAAACAAACCCTGAACCACAATTACATCTCATTAGCAAGTCAGCACCAATTAAGGCCCCACTTTTTGCCCACCTTGGATTTGGATTTGCTTGTTTGCTGAAAGCAATTTTATCCAGAACAAGAGGTGATTTTAATCTAATCATACTTAACACAAAGAACGTCAAAACAACAATAGTTTCCTTCTTAAGCATGTTTGATACTGCTGCCATAACAACTTCAGCTTACAACAAAGATATATTCAATCCTCCCAGTGTTTATTAACAGGCTGTTTGATAAAACTCACTTCATATTAATAGTTCAAATATATTTACTAATAAAAACTGGTAAACACCGCCTCTATATTTAAAAATGTACATGAAAGCTTTTTTAAAAGAAGTATTATTTTTGCCAGAGGCCAATAAACAAATCATTATTTTTTTAAAAAAAAGTTTATTTGCCAGATAATCAAGTGAAGCTATAAAACACCTCTGACTCTGGTTGCATAAATAAACTTGCTGATTGCTTATTTGTAATCCCAGAATATTGTATTACAGCTGTGCTGTCAGGCTGCAAGGCAGGAATTTCCGTGCCAGTGGAAGCCCAAACCCATTCAAGACTTTTATTTAAAGGATGGATTTTTGCACAGGCAGACTATTCGTGACTTATTTAGCCAAAGAGCTTGCTAAATCATAATAATAATAATAAGCAGGAAAAGCCAGGAAGTGCTGCCCAGCACCTGGCCAGAGGCCTCACGTTTTTGGGCAGAGACATGATCGCAACCCCACAGTGCCTGGGACACATCACAGAAGAAACCCTTATTCGTTATCTTATTCCCAACATCCTTCCTCCGTCTAGATTTTATACCGAAGAGCCACGCAGAACATTTAAACAGCTCCACTGCTAGCAGTTTCCTAATTTTGTCTTTTGATGAAACCCTTTATCAATTCCTAGGGTTTGTGGCACCTGGGTTCCCAGTCCTACCTCACGGATATCGCTGTCCTACATTACAGCAGCAGCTCTTCGGGCCGGGGCCGCGCACACACCGCCGGCGGGGCCTGGGGAACGCACCCCGGCTCCGGCCGCTGTCCCGCGGGTCCCCCCGCTCCCCGGCCGCCGCCCCGGGAAGGTCAGGCGGGCACAGCCCGGTGCTCTCGCTGCCGCCCGGGGAAGGCGGCGGCCGGGACCCCCCCGCACGGCCCCGCGGGCCGCCCCCACCCGCGCCGCGGCTGCGGCAGCGCTGAGGGCGGCGCGGGGGGACCCCGCGGGCCGGGGGCGGCTCCGCGGCGGGCGGGGGGCCCGGCGGGGCGGAGGGCGCGCTGCTGAAGGACATTTTAGCTGCCGGCGGTGCCCGGCCCCCGGAAAATGGCTGCCGGGGAGAGGGCCCCGAGCGCGGCCGCGCCGCCCGCCCGGCGCGGGAGCGGCGGTGAGGGACAGCGGCGGCCGCCTCGTACCTTTGAATTTGAGCTCGTGCTGCGGTTCGAGGCTGAGGACCTGCTCCGCTTTCGCCATGTTCCTCCTCCTCCTCCTCGGCGGTGGCGGCACCAGGCGGAGAAAGGAAGGGACGGGGAGGGAGGGGAAGGAAGAGGGGAGAAGGAGGAAGGGAGGGAGGAGGGAAGGCGAGCGGGGGGCGCGCCCGCTGGCGGGTTCACTCCTCGCCCGGGTGCTGGTTCACCCTCTCCCGGCTGCTCGTTCGCTCGTCGCTCTGGCGCGATTTCACCCTGGCCCGGGTGGTTGTTCACGCTGTCCCGGCGGTCCCGGAGCGGGGACAGGCGCGGGCGGAGGTCGGGCGGCGGCTGGCGGCGCACACGCTGCCGGGCAGGGCGGGCGGGAGGCGGGATGATGCAGCACGGAGGGGCCCGCGGAGAGGCTGCGGCGGCGGCTGACGTGAGCCCGGCCCCGCCGTGAGGGGCCGCGGGGGGAGGCTCCGCGCCGCCGCTCCTCGGGCGCTCCTGTGGCCGGAGGTGCCAGCCCGGAGCGTTTGGGGAACAAAGAGGGCTAATAAACAAAGTTTAATCGTCACTGGGAAGCGTGGTTTGTAATAAAAGCCTTGTTCTCCAGAAGCAGCGTGTTACTGTAGGCCTGTACTCCGTGTGGCCTCAGGGCTGCAGGGGAAGCCCTCGGGCCCCCCGCGCCCTGCCCGCTCCCAGCGCCGCCGGGAGCTCCGGGAAGGGCAGGGAAGCGCTCCCGGGAAAAGGAGGAGCTCCCGCAAGGCTCGGGGCGCAGCGTTACAGCGCCAGGGCAGCCCTGGGAACCGGCATCGAGCTGCAGGCAACACTCCCTTTTTAATAAAACCAGAACTTCTGGTCACCTCAGATTTTAAGACATTCTCCCTCCCCTTTCTTAAAGTTTTGGGTTACTCGTTGGGGTTTTTATGTTTGTTTTGGGGTGGTTTGTGGTGGATGTGTTTTGGGAATTTTTTTTGTGTTTAGTTTTGGTTGGTTAGTTTTTATCCCAACGTTTTAAAGCATTTTTTTGAAATTTACAGCATGGTTTAACATATAGTGCAGCTTTATTGATAGCCCTAGGCCAGTGTAATTACAGCAACACTAAGCTTTTTGCTCCTCTCCTCAGATTGTTTTAAACATTTGACAAATTCCTAAGAATTTATAAAGCACTGCTGTAACCTGTCAGAGGCAGGAGTTTGGGATGTCCTTGTTAGCAGCAAAAATATGCTGGTCTTAAAAACTGGAATTTATGTACAGTAAAAAGTATTCATTGGACTTTATACATAGTGAACTTCATACATACATGACTTCAGGAGGAGATGCCATTTGCAGAAATAAAAAGCTTCCAAAGAAAATTCGTTTTTCACACCAGTATAATGTACATGATGCAGTGCACCTTTCCCTCACTGAAATTCTTTGTATCACGTTATTTGACTTAATAAATGCCAAAACTGCATAAGATAGCTGAAAAGATCTAGAATTACAGCAAGAGCATTGTTCTCCTTTCTGGCACTAAAAGCAATGTCAAATGAGTGATGTGTATGTTAAAATTAACACCCCTAAGCAGGACAGTGGCATTCACTGCTCTGAGCACATCTGCAGTGTTTATACCACACCTTCAGCTGCTCCTGTCCACCACAATCTCCGTTTTCCTGCTCATGTGCTTTACCACCTCCCATCCAATTTCATCTTTTTTTGTTCTCAGTTGTCTTTCATTCCATGCCAAAACAAACCAAACTCATACCTGTATTTAGTACAAAACCCTTAGTTTTGCATGATACAAGTGAAACCTGCCGACTCCCTCCAGCCAGGACAACGGGACTGATTTTTTTAAAGCTTCAGCACTGCAGGACAGTACACTCAAATAGTGCTCTTGTTACTTAAATTCCTTCTTTTTCTGGGAAAGAATGGTCACATAAAATCATAAAGGGGTGCATTTTCTTTTCCAGGAAACTAGATTTGGATGGTCTTACTATTTTTGCTCCTTGGGGTGGGGGGGTGGGTAATTTTTAGCCTAAACTACAAGTTGTGTCATAACATTTTAGATCTCAATTCAGGAAAGCATTGAGTTCACTCATACTTTGCACCTTTCTTGGCTGGTACTGTGGGAAGGTTACCTTCCTTTACCTAATCTCTTATTTTATAAACACCTTCTCTTTGTAAGCCAGGCATTCTTAGACCAGTAATTGGTAGAAAAGACAAGCTTTATACAGATCGGTGAGTTAATTGAGACCTAAGGTGAGGACTAAGAGAGAAAGCTTTACACAGCATATAGTCATGCATAATAAAAACTCTAAAGTAAACAACTATTAAGTGTTACTGCCCAGACCTTTCCTGAGTTCTACTTTTCCTAAAAGAAGTACAAAGAAGCCCCTGAAGCGTTATGATCAACCTCTTAAAGGATTTGCCAAGATCTATCACCTTGCCCTAATTGGCAGCTCTGAACTTACCTGTTTGTATTTGAAGGACTCACCCACGTTTTCATCCAGGCAGAAGGTTTTATAACGCACAGCATTGTTCAAGTTGAAAATTTATGAAGTCTAGTGAAGTAAGTTGTCAGGTTTTTGTTGCATGTAAAAAATGTGTGTACATTTAATGTTGTGCAGGTCAGATTCACTGACCTGCAATACCCCATCCCTGTTCCACAGACAGCTCTCCCTGGAAACAATTCAGCCACAAGACTACAAGGCAACTTCTTGCCCACATGGGTTTCTGATTAACAGGAGAAAATTGGGAAGAACACTGCAGGGAAATGCTGGACAGCACTTGAAAGCTTTGTACTGAAACAATTTTAAAGAACAAGTTCATCACTTGCAAAATTTCTGCCTTAGAAGCTATGAAAGACTTGATCCAAGTGAAACATTCTCATTGTGTGTATGCAAACCACACAATGGTGGTGGTTTGCATTTAATTCCCAGACTCCCTATGCAAACATATACAAATGTCTTCTTCTCTCTGTTCCAGCATATTCCTTGTGGCTACCTTCCTTTGCTCTCCCTGCTGCACATTCATGCCATCTTAGAAAAAACCATCTGACACTATTCAAAAGCAGTTTGTTCACATCTAAGAGCATAACTTCAAAATTGCAGGTAACAAGAAATTTAAATTATTCCAGGTCTCTATCAAACAAAAGATGACATGGTATGGGTTTCCTGCATAGGAACTGCAGCCACTTGCTAAGTAAAAACTTGTACCCAAACTTTTCATGTGAAACAGGACTTTTTGTTTATTTAGCTTTCGAAGGCTGTTATTAACTCAACAGATTAGATGTGCATCCCAGATTGAAGCAACCAAACCACATCTTTTAGACATCATGTAAGACAAGTGAGTTAACTGCAGCCAAATCCATATTTTTGAGGACTACATAAGCGACAGAGCAGTGGTATAAAAAAAGCAATCTACTAACCAGCTGGCTGTATTAACAAACAACAGAAGATCCCTTCCCAGCACAACAGGCCCACGACACTATGCAGATATTAAAAGCACTTTACAGTTTTGATTGACAGAAACCTGGCCCAAGCAGTTGAGAACAGTGAAGTTCATGCAGTCTAAGGTAAAAGCAATGTATTAAATAACTTGGCCCTGATAGAATTTGTCAGGCCTTGCCCTGCTTGACAAGCCTGTGTGTGGCCTGCAGTTTCTCAGGCATGGTGCTGCAAAGAAAGGAAGTGTTACACAAAAGCTGCATTCTCTCTGCTGTTTCCCCCCATCCCTTCTTTGCACAGGATCTTCTGCCTTTGTCTGTGTGTACATAAACTAGGGAAAAGCTCCAGTTTCTGAACACCAGTAGTCAGGACTTCTGGAAAACAGCTATTCCAGTCATTTGTACATGTAAGCTATTGCTTACATTCCTCTTCAATAATTATATTGCTATAGAGACTGTTTTTTAAGATGTGGAGAATTTTGGAAGCATTTATAAACAAGCCAGCATATTTATATACAAAGCTTTTTATTAATAAAATGTTTACACCTTTTTTCTTTTTGCACAATACATCAGACTGGTAGTGATTTAGCATGTTATTACACTATAAAAATTTATTATGAATGCTTAGGCTGAAAAGGCTGTTTACATTATGTCAAATCAACATTTCTTTATTTGCATTCTATGCACTATATGGGAGTGTAAGGACTCAAACAAAAAGGAGAGAACAAAAGCCTGGTTTTCCTCATTAGCATCTACAAACCAACATTACAGACAAACCTGTACATGCTCTCAGGACCAGCCCAAGAGAAGACTAAAAAAAAGTCTCAAAACATTCATAAGCTTGGGAATTCATCACTACAATATTTCATCACGAGTAATCTGACTACACTTCATGCAGTGAAGCAATGGGTGGAAATTTGTGCAGTTTACAGTGCTGCAAATGCTCTGTAACTTTGAGCGGCTTAAGTTTGTTTTAGTTAGAGATAATATCGTAAGAAGGCACAGACCTTTCAACCCTTGTAACAGGTTAACCCATCCTAGAATGAAAAGGGCAGAATGTTGTTATGAGTGACAAGAATTGCTGATACAAAGGTTAACCTTAACACATTTCACAGGCAAACATTTATGACACTGCAAGAGCTCTATGCATATCAGGTTATTTTTGGGTCCTGGACACACAAATGCAGTTTCTAATTCAGAAATTTTTTTTCTTCATTGTCCTCAGTGTGGAGGGAAGTGGGAAGATAGCCAGAAAATCTTAAGCATCTTAGCTACAGAAATGCAATCAATTTCTGTGCCTTAAATCAACTCCCCATCACGGTGTAAGTGTTGGATACACAATTTCAGAAAGAGGAAGTACAAGAAAGAAAGTTAAAATACAGAAGAGGCTTACAATAACTTGCTCCTCCAGGGGAATTTGCTTTTAGCCTTCATTATGTGGTAAAATACAGTCTTGGCACAGGTCTCAGCTGCTGTAACAGTTTCATAAGGCTGTGCTAATGAATTACCCTTTTGCTTACAAATATTTTCTGCTGTGACAGATACTTCTAGAACTTTGTGGCAAAAGAGACACTCACCACCTATCGCTGTCTAAATCCCATAAGGAAACAAAGAACAAATTGCCCAGAAAACATAATGGATTTAATAGGAAATACATATTGTAACACCAGTAAAAGTGAGGCAAGATAGTAGCAGTGAATCTATCAAGGTGTCAGAGTTACAGAATATTCAAGTGCAACAACTGGATGCAGTGTCACACCCACAGTGATGAGGAGCACAACAGAGGAGTGATCTATGTCCTTCAAGATTTGAAAAAGTTGGTCTGTTCAATAACACATATGTGAAAACATCAACAAAAGCCCAGCAAAGCAAACCCCAACTTTCTTAAAAGAAAATCTTTACAAAGGTAATTAGCTCCTTAAATAAAATTTATACTTAGTGTTTAAGCAAAAATT